AACTAGAACCAACACATAGCGGAAACGTTTGACTTCATGAGGATCGCGCAAGAGCGGAACATATAGCATTAAAAGACCGCAAACTTCAAAATTCGTCATACGGTATCCGCACTGAATTATATTCTAAGATATGTTGCAACACTGCAACACTTAAATATAATAGCCCATCACTGAACTTAGCACCATGGCATTAGTAGTTCAAATCGGTTGACACTGGCGTCGGATGATTCAGCGCGTTCGTTGAGCGTTGCTGCATCAGCTTCAGACTCCTAAGGTGCTGGATTCGATTATGTCAGAGGACAATCTTCGTCTCAACCAAGAAAGTAATTTACCACATGTTCGATGAGACCTATGCTGTTCAGTCGATACAGCCTCAGACTCAGAACCGAAAGGTCCAGACTTCGAGCCTCGGTTGGAGTCACTCGCAACCCATCCATTTACCATGGATAATAAATGATTACCATTCTCCAAAGGCAGAAAACTAATAACTGTGCATGCCACATCGCAATAACTTTTGCAAAGGTGCATTGACATAATTTGATAGCGGCATGCATTCTTCCATAGCATGAATGTTGGAACGCTATTGCGCAATCTATAACATTATTTCAAAGACTGCAAGTACAAATGTATGTGGTTTTATGTTCATCGTTTTGTATATCTCTTTGCAGATCGTGGCGAAGCGATTCTCTGCTGATAGGAACAATCGACGCTGAGCGAATCAACTTGATCGACTGGTTGTTTCAGCAATGCGCTAATGTCTACCTGGCTGCTGTCAGTACCATAGTTGAACAGCTTAGGCAGCCATGCCGATACCACCTCATCCCAGAACCTTGCATCTCATACGACTGCAAGATTCTCCAAGAAGATGGGGAGCTAGGTCTCTGACTAACCGAAGCACTGGGAGGTGCAATGCGGAGTTACCGAGTCATTTTTTAGAAGAAAATATGAACATAGGTAGCTTGACAATTTTTTTGCACATTACCTTATTATTGCGTAGACGTGTCTGCCACTCTGATAACAGTGCCATTATGGTTTTCTGCTTGCAAGTGGATCTGTAACCTCGTCGAAACAAATCTAAATAGTTGGACATTGTAAACGAAAAATGGTGCAAAATGTCTGCACGACGTTCCATACATGAGCATGACGACAAACTGAGGCAAAAGCAGCTCAACTCGACACGTATCAAATATGGCGAACTTCAAATAATCGACCGGTAGAACGCCTTGCTGCGTAAAGGCAGCAGGAAGAAAAACGACAGCGATAATTTTCCAATAGACGACGTGGGAATGAGACGATAGGCAAGATCCGCCATGGGAACAGCGACAGGATCACGCGTTTCCAGGCGTATGAACAGCAGAGCTCATCTCGGCCTGACATGGGAACGTGTTTTTATGTTCTGCGCCAGATTCGAAACTGAAATATTCATCTGGTGGATGAAGTTGACTGTTCGGAAAGCAGCCTCAACCAGAAATCAAAAATTATATGGTTTATATGATTATATGGTTTTGTAGCTCTATAAGTTAACGAAGCGCATATGGTTCCCACTGCGATAAAACAGCTGACTGTGCACGGTTCTAAACGTAGTGTCATAATGGCAAAGAGATCGGCTTCGAATCCAGAGACTGGCAAAACTTTTCTTAACTGCAACTGCTAATTCCTGCGACGAATCCTCCCCCCCCAATACAAACTTCGTTGCAATCATGATTTGTTAACAAGAGGGACAGTGTGATTTTCTGATGCGGCCATGGGGACAGACTGTGCTGTTTTGTGCGAGTGCCTCATAGGGCTGCAGTGCGCCTTGATCAACCTGACAGCTTACTGTCCCACGTAATAATCAACAAACGTAATATGATTGTTGTTGCATATTCAGACATTTTATCATTTCTGTTTAGGAAAGATCAGGAATCAATTAGAATGTTCGAGAACATGTAGTTAATGGATATGCTATGCGGTTTTATTGCGTACTGATTTCACTTGGTGAAAGCATTTCATCTAACCGTTCAACTTCATGTTAAATATATAAATACATAAACAAACCTTTATGGGATTATGACACCGTGTGATATTAAGTTCCATACAGGTAGGCCACCGTCCGTGGTATTTTGGAAGTTCTTGGGTGCAACATGCTTCCATATCTCTTTCTCTCCTAGAATGAAAGCCTTCTCATTTTATTGATGTCTATGATTTCAAGATGTTTCAGGAGTAAGTAGAGTGCAAATACCAGATGCTCTGTATGCATTTTTGCATATTATTCAAAATATGTGCCGGTGTGTCGGAAGTACGTTTACAAACCAATAATATTGCTCTCGATGACCAGAAGTTAAAATTGATTTTGTACGGCCACGATAAATAAGTTTAATTTTTAGGCTTGTACTAGTCGTATGTATAAAATACACATAGAAGTTATTTTATGGACTCAGGAAATTTTCTCTGAGTTAATCCTGATCCTCTGCCCATCAGACAAACTCAATGGGCCGGAGCTGAAACCAAAACCATGTCAGTTCGTCTGTGTAATCCATGAGCCATCTCGTCCGTGGTCTGAATTTAGCAAGTCTTTTTCGTAGAAACCATGAGTTTAGTTGGTTTTACGATTCTTGTTTATGAAATGCCGATTGTACATCCATCGATCGCTGTTATGATACTCGATCTGGCTAAAAAATATAAAAAATCAGAGGACATCTCGTGTATGTGCATTTCACAATTCATCCAGCCACAACTTGCTATACCAAAACTATTTGAGGAATTTCATTTCCGCTACTGAAATATTATATTTGTACGCTTTAAGTCAAAATGAGAGCCATAGACTATGCTCACCCATGAGCAGAGGTTATGACACGTGGAAATCCATGAAATGGCTTACTTTTGCTTCTCCGATCGTTCCTTATTAGTTCAAACCTCCTGCGTTACAGCACTTTTCCGTTCAATGTCTTGTCTATTCACCATTTTTCCTAGACGGAAAACGACTATTTATAATGACTAAATCAGGCACGGCATAAATGAATTATTGCTACAGTACGTTCATTGACCGCTCGGAATAACTTCAGGTTCTCAAAAGACTCTATACAATATTCTTTGTTATTGGTGGAAAAATCTCTTTGCTTGGAAAGCAAAACAAATTCTGAAGCGTTTCACTTCAAAACTTCACTGCATGCCGAAGCAACTGCAGGTCTACTCCGAAAAACATGGTGAATTGCAAGCTTTCTAACGTGTGATTTTCATCCCTAAAATTGTCCACGACCCGTTGAGGTTTCGCCTCATTAGCCAATTAGCAAGAATCAGGAAACAGGCTTCGCCTCACAGGAAACACAGGAAACAGGCTTGCAACATTCACAACAGCTGTGAGCCCTCTATCTTTCACTCAGAGCGAATGTTTCCACATTCAAATGTCATGGCTTGTATGAAAGTGGTTTAGTGCGGTTAATCGTCTTTGGGGCAGGCAGATGCCTGGTGTATTTCTGGCTGGTTCACGAACGAAGCTTTTGCTTGGAGCATCTAATCTGGAGTCAACGAAATGCGGCATCAACTGATTGCTTCTATTGCAGAACACTACCAAATAGATATTTATATGACTCATATGTGTCCTGGTTGCCGTTCCACTATTTAATAAAGTTTTGGCCGTCTCAAATTCACAGCACCTCTCATTGCATGCATACGCTGAAAACTCGCCGAAATCAACCCCCTCCTTCGATCGAATGATGATATCTCGTGTACGATTAAGCAATATCTGAGGGAACATAAAATCCATCTTCATACTCTATGGCAATATGGTAGAAGGATGTAACTAAGCAGAACGACGAAAACAGCTCTCATAGGATTAGCCTTTGAAGCAGGAACCGCAAGCAGAAATTTCTGTCACGATCGCTGGTTTTATGACTCAATAGAAAACCAACCCAACCTCCTCCCTATGCATGGTACAATCATTTGCGGTCATCAATACTGCTTCAAATGTAACTCAAGAGGCAGGTTTATCCTCTTGATTTTCAGCCGTTGTGCGAATCCGCATGCGACTTAATATTCATGATGTCCCGGTATAAATATGTATATATTATATCTGTTACCGTTGTGTGTCCATGTCACCATTCGTTTTCTTGCTGTAACA